TTCTAATCAGCCAATCACATGGCGGCAACTCAGTGCATTTAGGCATGTAGACATGGTCAAGACAATCTCCTGCAGTTCAAACCGAGCATCAGTATGGGGAAGAAAGGTGATTTGAGTGCCTTTGAACGTGGCATGGTTGTTGGTGCCAGAAGGGCTGGTCTGAGTATTTCAGAAACTGCTGATCTACTGGGATTTTCACGCACAACCATCTCTAGGGTTTACAGAGAATGGTCCAAAAAAGAAAAAACATCCAGTGAGCGGCAGTCCTGTGGGCGGAAATGCCTTGTTGATGCCAGAGGTCAGAGGAGAATGGGCAGACTGGTTCGAGCTGATAGAAAGGCAACAGTGACTCAAATAACCACCCGTTACAACCAAGGTAGGCAGAAGAGCATCTCTGAACACACAACATGTCGTACTTTGAGGCAGATGGGCTTCAGCAGCAGAAGACCACACCGGATGCCACTTCTTTCAGCTAAGAACAGGAAACTGAGGCTACAATTTGCACAAGCTCATCGAAATTGGACAAGAGAAGATTGGAAAAACGTTGCCTGGTCTGATGAGTCTCGATTTCTGCTGCGACATTCGGATGGTAGGGTCAGAATTTGGCGTCAACAACATGAAAGCATGGATCCATCCTGCCTTGTATCAACGGTTCAGGCTGGTGGTGGTGGTGTCATGGTGTGGGGAATCTTTTCTTGGCACTCTTTGGGCCCCTTGGTACCAATTGAGCATCGTTGCAACGCCACAGCCTACCTGAGTATTGTTGCTGACCATGTCCATCCCTTTATGACCACAATGTACCCAACATCTGATGGCTACTTTCAGCAGGATAATGCGCCATGTCATAAAGCTGGAATCATCTCAGACTGGTTTCTTGAACATGACAATGAGTTCACTGTACTCAAATGGCCTCCACAGTCACCAGATCTCAATCCAATAGAGCATCTTTGGGATGTGGTGGAACGGGAGATTCGCATCATGGATGTGCAGCCGACAAATCTGCGGCAACTGTGTGATGCCATCATGTCAATATGGACCAAAATCTCTGAGGAATGCTTCCAGCACCTTGTTGAATCTATGCCACGAAGAATTGAGGCAGTTCTGAAGGCAAAAYGGGGGTCCAACCCGTTACTAGCGTGGTGTACCTAATAAAGTGGCCGGTGAGTGTATATCTACAGTACAACATGGTAAAATAAGATTTTATTAAATGTCATGTCAGGAGACAATCAATCAGGTTTTAACGCCTTTATCGGATAATATAATACATTTTAGCAGATTTTGGCATCATTTTGAATTTTTGTAATGACATTATCAGTCTCTCACATCATTATGGCTGAAATTTGGCCCACTCTTATCTACAACATTTCTTAAAGGAGACATGTCACACTTTTAAATCCTTCAGTTGGGGTCTATATAAAGTAGAACTGCAATGTTTTGGTCTGAATTCCTTTGTYTTGTAACTCCACAAGCCCCCTTTTCTGAAGTGTGTCTCAGACCATCTCATTTTGAGGCTGTGTCTTTAAATCTAAAAGTGGCTCTTCACACCCCGCCCCACCTCCAGCTTCCATACCGGTCCAGTCTAGCTTGATAGAGGAGTTTACAACTATGCAGAAATAATTTATTTGCAAATTAATTAAAAGATGGCAACAACAAAAGACTTGTCCATCCAGCTTTACATTTTTGGAGCCAAGTCTGACTCAGAGCCACGGCAGAATTAAGACGACCTAATTGTACGATAAGTCCAGACCTCATTTGGAAGTCCTGTTGCAAATACCGTGATGCAATAATTAGGAAAACTTTATAGAAAATAGAGAAAACCGAACAGGTGGGAAAAATATGACCCAAACAGAATAGAAAAATATCTACGCAGCACCAGGAGAGATTAACTTCAACTTTTAAGCACTTTTAGAGACTCCAAGTATACAATAAAATTCATCTAATGGAAAAAAAAATGTGGATTTTGCATAATATGTCCCCTTTAAGTTCATTGAAGTTTGCATTCAATGAAGATCTGTTAATGTTCTATTACAGTGTTTCAATCAGGTTGAAGCCTAGACTTTGATTGGACCCTTGCAGTGCTATTATTCTTTATTTTTCACTTGTACCGTTGCTGCTGTGTTTTAGTACCATTGGTATACAGAGGATGACTGATGTTGACTTTGAATTTGACATCAACTTGGTGACTACAATGTTCCCACATTTAGAAAACAAGCACAAATTTTCCAACCTCCACCACCATGCTCACAGTTGGTGGTTCGGACATGCTGTGTTTGGTTTTCTCTAAACATCTTGCTGTACTTTATGACCAAAAATTCCTGCTATGTCTTGTCTTGTTTGTCCAAATTACATTGTCCCAGAAGTCATGTGGTTAGATCATATCAAACTTAACAACATAACAAACCTAAGCCATGCTTATTTTCTTAAGAAGAGTGATTTTACACTAGATGTTATATTCATGCACCAATACACAGATTGTTGACAACTTGAGGATCAGTAATGGAGGAAGGAAGGATAAACCATCAACTTTCTGATTGGCTGAGGACTGTTTTACAAAGTGTTGAGAAGTCCATACAACAAGATCATAAGTGATGTTCTGTGGACATACAGTAAGTGATTAGATAATAATTAAKTGAATGACTGTTATAGTGTTCTCAGTGGGAAACATGGTCTTAATTTACCTAAATGCTAAAGTCCTAGATGTTTGGAAAAGTTTGTTGATTTTAATCATCTTTCGTTCGCACAAGTATTTTCAATAGTACAATCAGTAACAGTCAAAAAGCATTACATTTGTTCAGAAGCTTGCCACCGACACAAACGAGTGACGAAAACACACAACCATCTATTTTGTGCCTCTGTCTGCATTTCCATCTGAATGATGTGGCGCTATTCTTAGATCTGTGGGAGGATAGATGGGCATCATTTAGATTTTCATTTTCAAAGGCTTTTCTCCTTGTGGCTGTGAGCCATTTTCAATCGACCATTTGTTGGTGCACAGAATAATGCTAATTATGTGCACAAAGCCTACTGTAAATGGTGGCTTTGGAGTTCTTAAGAAAAGGATTTTGACAATAAAAAAAAGGCTTCATGACATACCCTGCTTTCCTGTGAATAGTGTCTTWTTAATATTCAGCTGAACAGCTTTATATACCACATATTTGAATTTGTGTAGAACATTGTGATGTGTAGCTTTTCATAATTATATTACCTTCAAATTATCAGTGGACACTCGTGTAACTGAAAAGGTATTTCCATGTTTAAAATATACATTGTTCTATTCTCACAATAAACCTGTTAGTCCAGGTGTTGTTGTTTTTTTTGACCGTGTTTGAACCTTGTTCAAATATTTTTTCACACAAACAGTTGTGGTTTTAACTCATGACAGTAAGGAGGATTGCATCAGGAAGAGCTGCACCTTCCTTCCAACTCCCACTGCTTTTCTTCGGAATTGGTTTCAGTCTTGTGGAATTTTTTTTTTCTTTTTCTTCTGTGTTTGTTAGTTTGTAGCACTGACTAAATGTGAGAAATATTTCCTTGCACAATAAGAACCGTTTCCGGGCAGTTACCGGTCAACGTGATGTAATGGGAAACTTTAATTGCTCCTATGTTTGATGTTATTTTTTTTGTAACAACTTTATGGGATTTTCAGGGGGTGGAAAATGAAGGCCAAGGTCCTCAGCATTCACAGTCTTCTAAACTTGGTGTGTTATTGGATGATGTATGTAAAAAAATTTTTTTTACAAAACTTTAATCATGTTTTCATCACCCAGAATATTAAGAGTAAATGTTTAAACCAAAGCTTTTCAAGTTGGAGAACATGTCAAATGTCAATGTCATTTATAATGCTGGATTTTTTTTTTTTTAATTTTTTTTTTTTTTTTTTTTTAAGCGGTATGTAGAAAAATATGATATAGTTTGTTTTCCAACTGTTTCATTCTGTATTTGGGTGGTTTTCTAAATGAAAATGTGCTGGGGAAAGGTAAATGTTTAAAGTTTTGTCCATGTCTCAAAAAAGCCATAACTAAAAAATTCAACCAGGAGGATCCTCCAATACTTGATGAAATGAATCCAAAATACATATTAACGAACTGAGTCTGATGAAAAAACGGACATACATAATAAAAATAAAGAAGTCTCAAATGAAGTATATATGGTTTAAAAAATGATTTGACAGTAGTTTTTAATCATGATGCTGTCGAGATTACAGTATATATGCTTTTTTTTCACTTCTCGCTTGTTGGCAGCTGAAATTAAAACCATCTCCTTGCAACCTTGTTTCAGAAAATAGCTGGCTGAATGGAAAAACAAAACAAAAAACGTCATTAAATTGTATTTTTCATGATCTATGTGTTTTACACATGTGCATGCTTAACGTCATAAACAACTGTTCAGAATTGCATCTTAAGACTAGAAGTAATTTTTCTACGTCTTGCTGTGATGAAGAATAACTATATACTAGAAAGCTGTTGAAGAAACTCTCCCCTCCCTCTATCTGTCCTTAAATGAGCATTTAAAGCTAGCCTCCTAAGACATTTAACCCGTCCTCGGGGTACTCCCTCTGTTTCGCCCCAGATCAGAAAAGGGGGAAGAAAAAAAAAAACGAGGGAGTGACTGCGCCGCTCGGTTAGTCACTGGGGAGCTGCAACAGCAGATTTTCTGATTAAATAAGCATGCMCTAATCACTAATGGAGCTGTGCTGCAGGATTAAATCAGAGAGATGTCAAAATAATAACTGAAAGAGAATGAAGAGGTTGCCACAGGCATGACTCAATCTTTTAAATTATTTTTTTAATTCTTCAGATCAGGTAAACAGCGTCAAATAATGTGCTTCCAGGATTTGTTCTGCGCTGTTGTTAACATTCACTTACATGAAGACGTGCACAATCTTGCATTGGTCCTGAAGCTATGGAAGTGTCTTAAAATAGATAATATAATATATGGTATGAAGTTATAATGAGAATTTCCAGGCTTATTATTGTTTTGTTTGTTTATTTCCTGATCAGTGCTTTGGGAGGCTCTTCTGCACTTCATATCCCTGCATTTCCCAGTGGAGGATGCCTAATTGATTACGTCCCTCAAGTGTGTCAGTTGCTCACAAATAAGGTAAAAATGTTGATGTTTCTTTTGTGCAAATAAATGTATT